TCAATATAGGGACTTCTTTACGGGCGCTAGTTATTCATTCGAAAATGAAACTTTATTGATTCGACCTCGATACAGGTGAAAACAGCGAAAATTGCAACGAATTTCGACCACATAAATAAACAACAAATTATAACCATCTATTTGGATATGGATTCGAAGGTGTAGATAATCTAAGAACAAAGAATTATGAGCAAACAAGAACATAGAATTTACGTTACGTTAGGTTACGGTTTATGTTCGTATTGTGTGTATGTTTACGAATTTTCTCAAAGATTTCCAAACCATCTATTGAGGATTTATCGGGGTCGAATCACCAAATTTAATTAACGTAAACATTTTGATCCGAGCATCTCAAGAGCTTGAGACCTAACGGATCTGAAAACCGTGAAGCCATGAAATGAAACAATGCACAAATAGACGTTTAGAATATTCCGATTTTAATTGGGACCTTGACATTGTTTCTTTTATAAGCGGCAGTCTGAAAAAAGAACGCCTGAACATTCTCGATTTTATCAGTAGCTCTTACGATTTCAAGAAGTCTGAAGAACACAATACAATAAAACTTACATCGAATTCAAATTCGTAGAACAATCAAAGACTTAGGAAAAATTAGGTGGAATTGGCGAATTACTGCAAGCTCAGGCAAATAAATTCATCAGACGATATAATAATTGTATCCGGCGCCGAAACTCATAAAAAACGCATAAATTCCGAGCTATCAATTTCATTCTTCTTCTTTGCTTCGGTTTTGATCGATTGAGCCGTCGTGTTCGAAATTTTTATGCATCAGCGAAAAAAAAATTTCTCTTACTTCACCTCAATCTGCGAAATGAAACTTGGCGGTCATCAAAATCGGAGCGACCATCATCATGAGAGCGTGAGTTTGATGAAGTGGGCGGACAATATACAATTTTTTTTTCTTCTCGGGTGAGCATATAATTTTTGATTGTTGGCCAAACTTAAAATAATCAAAAACATTTTATGTGGTTCAAGTACTACTGCTAACTGAAGAAGAGACCGTTGGAAATAAACCCATTGCTGTAGTTTCGTTTGGACATTGGCTGATTTATGAGCTCATTTTAATGTGAATTTTTCAATTTTGATAACGCATCAACGCCTAAAAATTCATAAATTAAGTCATTAAATGGATAAATGCGTTTTATGGCGTTCATTTTATCTGCTTTTTTCCTCATTTTATCGCCCGGTTTTTTCTTTCTCCGTCGTCATTGTTGTTCGGCAGTTCAACTTCAGTCCATATAATTTACAAATTTATTCTTCACATGCATGCGGTTTGTTCGAAGTCTCCAGCGGACACGGCCATATTTTGTAATCAGATAAAAATTCGTGGAATTCCTTTCTTTTTTGGGGCTTCTCGGTTAGTTTTTATTGCAATTTGAATGGAAGTAGCAATCAAAGAACCCAATTGCATTGCTTCGCACACATAAAAAGCGCGTTTGGCTTTGAATCAAATAGCCTTTTGATCTCAGCGTTCTAATAATAACCATAATCAAATAAAACCGCAACGAAATATTTGAAAAGTGACGAAAATCGCTATGTTTATCTATTTGATTGCATTGGTTTGTTCCAGTTTACGACTTCGATACCAATCGATGTTTTATTCAAAACACAAAGTCATAAGCGTCTGCTTCGGAAAACCGCACGACAACCATAACGTTTCACTGAATCTGAATCGTAACCATTAATCAAATCGTATTTATCACAAAGAAGCCATTCGAATTTTGATGGAAATGTATTCCATTAAGGTAAATTAGCTAAAATCCCATATGGAAAATACCACAAACATGTTTCGGTTACACGATTCCATCGAACCATTGAATCAGATGTAAATACGATACTTTATTTCCAATCAAAATAAAACCACAATTTAAGTGATTCATCTTTTGAAATTAGTAAACCTCAGCAAAAACACTAGGACACTGCTGAACTATATTTCATTCGCACAGTTTGTCGAAGCAACAGTTTCGTTGACATTTTTCAAAATGAAACCGAAAACAAATACCGCGAATTCTTTCTTATAGATAGAAAATAGGAAATGAATTTTTCCCGAAAATGAAGGGTTTGACCGGTTTGTGTGGCATTTGTGTAAAGCGGTGGCGGCGTCGTCAGAAGAGAAGCGCATATGTTCCGTTTGTACGTTTGATTCGCTTTGGTTTTGTTTTTTCTCTTCATTGCTTTCGTTATTTCCGTACGTGCTAAACCGCCCAGCTGCTCAATGTCGGTATCCGAACAACAACACACCACATACATGCGTTCGATATATGTATCCAATTTGCGCGCACGAATGCAATCATTCTTTCCAATTTGAATTCACTTTCTCTCATGCAATTTATGGCTGAAAAAAAAAAATACACACTCATACATGCCTAATCCAAAGCGAATGGAATGAACGCAAAACAAGTACTTCATTTTCGCGATGAAAAAATATGAACAAACACTAACTGCACGAATTGTAATGATCGCGATCGAAAAAGCTTCGGCATCGTCGAACAAATTCGAATTAGTAAAAATCGTATGCTCTATTTTATTGAATAACGAAGCTAAATGCTCGTTGAATCAGGTTCAAAAGTAAATAATGATTTCGAAGACAAAGCATAATTTCACTGCAACAAACGGTGAATTGAATCGGTGGCGGTGAAGGTGATTATGGATAAATGGAAAAGAAAAACAAACCAAGTTGATTCAAACACAACAAGCACAGGCCATTTAATGCTTTTGTCATGAATTCAATTTTCAATGAATCCGGTTCGTTTCTGACTACTTCTTTGACCAAAAGCGCAACGCACAAATGTATTCAACCGGATTTTTGTTGGTCTGTAGATGAAACGATATGCTGTAAATATGCTTACAGCAAATAATATCCATTTGCACATATTTCTGTGCTTGGACACAAACGGAGTGAAGCGGTTGTGACGAATTCTCAATTGGGAGACGAAGTTATAAGGGCTTTTGCATGAGCGAAAAAAGAACACCGCACAAATATATGTATCGATTTTATTTCGTGGCTTCGTTTTGTTTTGCTGCCGATGTCTGCATACAGTGTACACTGTACCCACAAACGAGATTAATTAAGTGCTACGAATTACATAAAGAGAAATTTCTCTCCTGTTCGAAGCTCCTCCGTAGCCGATTTTTGGCCAATTTGCCATGGTGCCCATATGTGTACACTGTACGTGTTCCATGAAGTTGTTTTGGATTGGTTCACCAATTACGTAATATGTCATTCGGATTTATACAATGCAATTGAGTGCTTCGAAGTTCACACACATTTGACTTGAGAAAATGAAATGGTTGTTGACTGCCGATTGCCGAATCAATGCAAAGAAAATTGTGTCTCTCTCTCTCTCTCTCTCACTCCTTCTGTATGTTAATTTCTGACTTTAGTAAAGCCTCTGTGGTTTGCTTCAACTCGATTGGCAAGAATACGAGTGGAGAGACATTTGTTTACGGTCGATTAGGATTTGTTAAATCCCAATAATTGATTAAATTGATAAGCAGCCATGCCAAAGAAAGCAGGTTTGTGTGAGGTCTCATCAGATTAAAACCAATTCAGATTAATCTTTACTGTGCGACTCGGCATAGTACTCCGTTCGTTTCGTATGTAAACGAACATTATGATGCATATATACGTTTCGTTTTCACTTCGTTAAAAAAACCATTTTCTCATTCATTTCATTTGAGTTATTTTCTTAACAAATTGGGCATTTTATCATTTTGACTGCCATCATTTCGAATCATTTGAATTTCTAATTGAGAATTATGTCTTTATTAATGCAATATGACACTTTTAAACGTTAGCTCAAAAAAAGAACGACATCATGAAATATCATGAGAAACCTTTATCAAAATGATTCAAAGCGAACAAATTGATTGTGAACAAATTGGGTAAACACGTTTGGAGCGTGAATGTCTAACCGATGTTAATGCGACCGTATCGATGGTCGGTGGCTCAATCGTTTTTTTTTTCAATAGAATGCACACATCTGAAGCTAACCAAGTAAACATGAAACGGATTGGATGCGTGTTTAGGGAAAAATTGATGAAATTAGTCAAGAAGCGCAAAATAATTTTGATCCGAAAAAAAAACAAAAAAGGTTAACAAATGGGAGAAACGAAAAAAATGGAAGAGAAAAAAAATTCTCACATCAAGCTTAAGTCAATGAGCCATTCAATCGTCTATTCCGTTCAGGTAGAAGCTAATTTGAAAGCGAATTTTTATTTTGCAAAACATGACCAGAACAAGCATAAAGCAACACATTCAAGCGCATACTCGACTGATTTTACTAAGCAAAAAAATGTGCTTCTTTATCTGTGCACCGTGCGTAACAGTGAAAACAGTTAAAGTTTATGAATGCACTCGAGTTATGCTTTTTTTTGTATAGTTGATGTCGCCTCCGTTGAAAACGAGAATAGATATAAAATTCTGCACATAATTGCTTCTTATTGTCAACGAGCATCGTTGTGCCGTAATCTTGATGGAATAAGCCATCTTCTATACACAGTCGCAACTAATAATTACATAATCGAACACATACTCTCTCACACACAAAATGTGTCTCTCTGTGACAAGCAGTTAAGAAGAAAGACAACCGTGCAGAAGGTAAAAAAGTGAAAAGTGCAGCAAAGACAAAGCAAAAAGTAAAAAACAAAACACACGATGTGCTGGATTGTTATTCTAGATCATCGTTAGATAAGCAGACATAATACCGGTTCATCATTTCCACATGCGCTTCATTTTACTTTTCTTCAATCTAAAAATACCAGCGATGCGATCATCATCACCACATCAACCATTTCTAAGAACAGCTGTGTAATTGTGCATTGCAATACTTTGCTTAACTCACTTAGATCTCCGGGAATCAACGCTTGTTATGTCGGAAATTTTGCACGAAATATGATGTTAAAGATGTGCATCGACAACAACAACAAAAATAAAACACAGAAATTTTGCAATTTGACAAGAAGTGACTGAATGGGCTTACCTTGTCTGAGAAGTCTCCCAGATGCTTAACATCTTCAGTTTCGGTACGTTCTTGGATCTCTTCACGCGAAATGACTTTTTTGGTTTTCATTTCACGCACAAGACCATCAGCGCGTGGAGCCAACACCGTGGGCGCACTTTTATCAATACCGTACTCGTCAACATACTCGACTATCGTTTTATCCTTATCCGATGGAAAGTGCTCAATTGCTTTCGGCCCATCCACATCATCTTCACCTGGTTTTAAACGCTATACAAAATAGAAAAAAAACAGTAACATTCTTAGTTTTTTAATAATAAGTTTTTTTTGTTACAATCAACTCATCGTCGCTTACCTCAACCGATTCACTTTCTTGCTTGTTTGTGTCTTCGGTGGTATTCGTTTCAACGATTGGTCCCGAGTCTTCGACCACTTTCCCATCTTCTAATACTATTTGCCGTTTTACTCGCGTCTCAATCTGCCTCGTCGTTGTTAGTTCGGTCTTCTTCTTCGTCACTACTTCTTCTGTAAAACAAATGAGACAAAAATGAAATAGAGAAAAACAAAAAAAGTGGTTTGAATTCAATTTCATTCATTCAGATGGAAATTTCGATGAAATCGCCCAGAGGTAGGCAACATTTGAACTGCGAATTTGGTGGATGGTATAGTACGTGTATAGTTTTGCAATGTATTTCTTTGAAAATGAGCAGATTTTCCAAATGAATTTCATAAAAAAAAAAATCGAAAAGAACAAAAAAAGCCTATTTGTATCATTCAGAAGTAGTTTTTGAAATATTTTTTGAATAAGAAATCAAATTCATCTTCTACTTCAACTAATAATTTCAAATGAACACTGCGTTTTGCATTAAAAAGTGTTTTGATGCGATCGAGTTTGAGTAGAAATCGTGTTTTAAATTTATCACACCGCCTCCATCATTGAGTGTTTTAATAAGATCTAATCAAATCAATATATTTCCACAGAATCAACATTTGAGAATATAATTTAAAAAGTAATATCGAAGATATGAAAATGTTCAGATATTCTTCGCTGCAATTTTATTGCGTAGCCACCTAAAGTTATTGCGTAAGCATCCAAACTTTAATTAGATCACAATTCTTGGAATGATTCGTTTAATTACGTTATTGCTTACTATAAAAGGCAGCTTGCGATCACATCAATTTCAGACTCTGACTTTTATTTCATTGTGGGTGAATCGAGTTGAACCGCCAGTAATATGATCATAAAAGTTTTTTTACTTGGTAAATTTTTATTCATTTGAAAAAGAAAAATCCGATGCTTTGGTAAGATTCTCTTCATTTTCTCGATATACTTTTCGCTTTTGTACCATACAATTGTATCATTTTCATCATTTAAAGAAACATGACTATTACTGCAGCGATGATCTGAAATGCGTACGCAAACACCCAACTCTCAATGAAAATATTCTTGTTGAGAATTTTATGTGCAAAGCCAAATCTGTAAGTAGTTACAAATCAAAGTGTTCAATCGATGTTCGTAAGCCATGACTTTATATTCAAATTTTGAACATAGGAATTTGGTCCAAACTGCATTAAAAACACAACGAAAAATTTCCCGATGACTGCCGAATATAAAAAACCCTTTCTGGACGGCCACAATGAGAGGCGATGTATGTCCGATCGGACTCCGATGTCATTGTATTATCGAGAACTTTTTCTGTTTGAAAAGGTAAAGTGGCATTTTTGTGACGATTTTAAAATTAAAAAATGGCTATAATTTGATTCAATACAATTTGTAGTAAACACAAGTCTATTGATAACATTCACGAATGCGCTTTGGCTTCCAAATTTCATTGAGTTTCAGTTTTAGTTTCAGCTCCACATGGTTGGAATGTGTGAATGACAAAAAGGTATTTCTGTTGTTTTATTGGTTTATTCCGTGCTAATCTAAAAAGCATGCATTCTCTGGTGTACGACCAAATCCTTTGCCAAAACAGCGAGTGCGCGAGAATGGATTTCGTGTGAAAAGCGTTCAAAAGGTCGAACCATAATTTCTAAAACGTTGCAACGCAAGCAAGCAAGCAAACGAACAAACTAATCTAATTCCATTGAAAGCCATGGTGTTTGTATATGCGGAGCGCATATATATCTGAAATAAATGTCACGCTGCCGATTTTCGCTGCCGCCACCGTCATTTGGAAGCAGATGTAAAAAATGATTTTGCATTTCTCGGCTAAACAAAAACGTTAGATGTGTAGTGCGGCACTTTTTCTTTCTGTTTCTCTCTCTCTCTCTCTCTCTCTCTCTCTCTTCTCTCTCTTCAATATTTATAAGTATTTCTCTCACGCGTCACACGTCGAGATTTCGAGCTAACCCAACTCTCTAGAGTCACCATGGCATATATCAATGCGATAACAATCTCATACTTTCAACGCGAATGTAACGTGCAAAAGCGTTAGTTTCGATTTAATAGAATATGTTTGTTTCTATTTTATTTTGTGTCGCTGAGTTTGTTTCAGTTTCAGTTGTGATTGCATATTGTGAGGTGCGTGATTTGAGTGTCTATCTATGTACATACATTTTTTTCCGGCGCATGTATGCCGGATCTATGTAAAAGCGATAAATGTAGTGAAACACGAAAAACCCATCAAAAACTACAGGTCCTCAATTCATGGCGAGTAATTTGGTTTGCCGTTAGTTTTCAACGGCTTCAATGGAAAATTCAATCGATAAACTTACACATCGAACATAGATTGACGTAGAAAAGAGCCGACGATGTGACATGTGCTTGTAAAGCAATTTGATGGGGCGGTTGATTGGACGATGGTGGCGTGTGTGACAACCCCTCCGGAATCAATTTTGTTCCAAGTTTCGAACATTGTCATTAAATGTTTAACGAAATGAATAGGCAGTTATGGTATTCACATTCAGGTTCAACCTTTCATCAGCCAAGAGCAAACAAAATAGTATTACAAGCCTGATTAATGGGGTTATTTAATGGTTTGTACGACGAAATTAATAGCTCAAGCAGTGCCATTCATCCAGCCAGCCGATGCGTTGATTTGTGAACGGCTGATGGAATACACACAGCGTCCGATTCTATCTCAAGATTAGTGTGACGGTTCAGTTGAATGGGCAACAAAATGATTTCATGTTAACGTGCATTTCTATCGATGTATATGCGAAATCAATAATAATTAAGCCTTTTGAAAATGGCGAGCACAATGTGATTGATGTTTGTCGACATTTTTGGATTAGATACCACATCATCCCCCCAATCGAAATAGAGAGAGAGAGAGAACGCGCATAAATCACAGAACATGAGTGCCAATACATAATTTGGTAAATGAATGGTGCTTTGAACGAGCGATTCCAGTAGACGTATAAAAGAAAGTCTACTAATCATAGCCGCATTGTAATCTCACATGATTTAATGCAAAAGCGATGTGACTGTGCTTTTCACCACATTATGCACGATGATATTGTATGTTATCTCCACCATATCCATGCCGACGCATAGAATTTGTTGCACAGGCAAATGTGCTACCACACAAAAGCTCATGAGTTTGATACCATGTTTGCCATTTTATCATTTCACTAGCGATTAATCACCGTCGAAACACAAAGTAAATGCACTTTTTCGAACCTTTTATACACGGACAAATCTTTCTTTCGCCTCGTTTATTGCCCAACAAGTATGTATGACTAATCATAGCAGACGAAAGGTAATATGTGCACAAATCACGTATCGATCGATCGATTACTAGGCATTTATTTTCATAACATAGTCCATATAGATTGTGTGGAGAGTAGTATTTATATGCAACATTTGCCCATCAATCATTCGATCGCACCGACTCCGAGATCCAATCTCCCAAGCGTGTACTGCATTGTGGCTGGCACAGGGGGCATTTGGCATTATCAAAAGTAGTCTATCGTTAATTATATGTCACTATTTGATCAGACTTGGTTGCGCGCATTCCTTTACCCATTAACATTCAATTCATTTAGATTGTGCACGCTTTGTTTCTTTTTCATTTCTACGTCGATACATAGGATAAAAGCAGGAAAGAGGTTGAACACATTTTGACTTGGAAATGCGCAGTACGCGCGCAATTCCTTAAATAGACAACGCAATTTAATCGATCGAACATGAACGGGAAAAAATGACGGTGTTAATACGTATATGAGTGAGTTGAATGCAATTTTACGGGAAATTTTTAAATTTCATACTTAATCACAAAGTTGCATTCACGCTTTTCCAATCGATCGATTTTCTACCATTTTTTTCTGTCTTTTTCCTCTTTTTTTCTGTCATTTTTTTTTCGTCTATGTTTTGCCGCATTTTGTTTGAGGCAAATCGATAATTTAGCATTTCATATGCGGGGCTCGTGTACAAGCTATAAATTAATTCCAAATTGAAATGGATTCTATAATTTTTTTTCCAAACCGTGAACACTTTTACCACATGAAGAAAATGCCTGCATAAATAATGATAATGTTTCACATAAATTTTCGTCGAACATTTAAAATCATGTGATGAACGAATGCTTTTGTCCACTTTTGTCGTTTGTCCAAAAGAGTGTTTCGAAACGACCCAAACCTAAGCATGTTCAAAACAAACCTATACTTATGAAGCGTAGAATTGATAGAGCAATTGTTGATTTTTTTTGTACTAATCGAATTTACATTAGACTCTCAATCAGAATGTCATTGGCTTGCACAGTCAAGTCAAAAAGCAAATTGGTTGAACCATAATTTAATGTGGCTTCATTTGAAAATGAAGCGATAAAGATCTGACCGTCATTTACTGCATATTAAAGGACTTACCTTCCTTGGTAACTGGTTCGGCATCGCCATCGATTTCAATCTGTGAATAGGTATCCGAGATATTAACACGTGTCACATGACGTACATAATTTTTGGATGCAGTTGCTGTGGTTGCTGATGCGGTTGTTGTATATGATGCGCCGGCTGTAGTGGCCGATGCCAAATACCGTTGCTGCTGCTGCTGCTGCTGCTGATGATGATGGTGGTAGTGATGATTGATTGGATCGATTTGGAATGTAATGCGTTTTGGTGCGGTTGAAGTGCGATTGCGATATTCATGACGATTATTGCTAATAGTGCGTGCTCCATGCAAACGAAATTGATCACAGCCGTTTATTGATGAAGATGGCGGAGGTGTTTGTTCACTTGACGACGGTAATATTAAAATCACCACCATTCCATATTACATTTATTACGAAGAGATTTGCTATGGGTAATTTCGTTACTGTTGTTATTGGTGTTGTTACGTTTTCCTATTCTATTGCCTGCGTATTTATGTTGTTATCGATGAATGAATCGAATGTGGAAATACAAACCGATTTGGTTGTGCATCCACGAGATGCATGTGAGATAAACTTGTTAAGCGATTAGAATCGAATGAGCTGTGACCAAGAACATGGTTGCGGCACACAGATTCGATACGGTCCGAAGGCGGCATGAATTATCTCATAGCCATGCACCTCTCAAAACATTTAAAAAACACATCTCTTCTTATCCAATTTTCGTCATTTCAAAAGTGTTTTTTTTTCATCCACAAAGCACTCGCACACTCACACACTGTGTTTTTTTTTCTTCCAGTTTATTTCAATGTTTTTTTTTTGGTTTGAATTAAAGAGCGATTTTTCGTTTTCGCTTTTTCATGCTTCGCAATCAATTTGTGAATCCTCACAGTACTAACTCGTCTATTTATCTCACTCGATTGACCTACACGTTCCGCACAAAATGTATACTAGATAAAAAGGGAGAAACCATTAGCTTCACATACGTACAGTTTGGCTTTCGAAAATGATTGACGCATAATCTGCATGCATGCACATTTAGATTTCATTGGAAAGATATAACCAGAAGCGATATTTCACCGTCATCCGGTGCACATACACGGAGCATAGGTACCGTTGTGCTCAGACCGATTGTGATTCGTTCACATCAATTATGTGTTTATCGCTCGATTTGAGTCACAAGTGCAATTGAAAAGTGACACATACGTTCTATGGCAAAATCCCGCAGTGTTGGCAGTGCAATAGCCGGAAGCAGGGAAAATTCATTTTGCAAACGTTACACAATTTACCTCGTATTGGCTGGTATAGAATGGACTAGACTGGCTCAAGGCCTTCAAAAACAATTAGCACTTACATTAACCGAATGATTTGTTTTGTCCGACTACGACTGCAGTTCATCGTATTACCAAATTATCATTATCATTTTCAATTACAGCATTTCTAATCACTCAGCACCACTCTCGATGAAACAATCAATCTCGTTGTTATTAATTGAAATCGGCCGATAAAATAGAGTGAATGCGGTAGAATTTATCAGTAGCAATTTCATAAAATTGTTTAATTGGCTTTAAATAAATCTTCCATGAGGAACGTAGAAATAAACCGCAGAAAAAAATTTAAATCAATGCCAATCTAAACGAATGGCATGTCATATTAAGCATTTAATTTGTACAAAATGTCAATGATTAATTCAGTTTGAGAGTGAGTAATTTACGTTGAAAACCATTGGGCCCATTGGTTGGTTCTAGTCGAACGGCGAAAAGCAATCGTTTTATATAACACGGACCGGCACGGACCAAAACAAACGGTCAACTGTAGCGTATAAATGTAATTAAGATGTGTATTCGCTTCATGAGAACGGGCTCAGTTAGATTGATTTATAATTATGGGCGATGTTGATTTGCTTCAACGAATAAACAAAGCAAAACAAAGCAAGAAGGAGAAAAAACGTGCGCACACTGTCGTCGACGTCGTCGTCGTCGTTGGCATTCCGCGTTCATATTTACAAAAAAAATTTGAGACACCAATTAAAATCGGAGCAGTGTTAAGCGAAGCCCGGCATGAGATCATCATAATAACGAGGAAGAATGAGGCGCATGTTAAGCGCGTTTACGCTATATGGACGACACTACTGCAACTCGAAATGGAGACGAAAATGAGGAAAAAATTGGAGCGAAAACGAAAAAAAAACCAGCGGCCGCAGCGAATATAACAAAAAGAAAAAAAAAGAAAAAAAATATAACAAAACTGGCCATGGTATGCGCGTGTAACCATAACCGTGAGCAAGTATTAATTACATTTATTGTATGCCGATTAAAAGTCACATTTACGTCGTAAATCTTACGAATTTATACACTAGCTCGGAGTGTTGTTGTGCGTGCGCGTGCACTCGCGCACTCCTTCAAAGACGCTCACGAGTAAAAAATGGTGAGAGAAAGACGAAGAGAGATAGAGAGAAAAAGCCTTATAAAATTTAAACATAATAATTAATAACAACAAATTCGCGGAGTAAATAAATATGTTATTGCGTTAGATGAAAATACAAATTTATTATCTCATACGGTGAGAGGGAGAGCATTGCGCCGGCAGTTTTATGATATGATGTGGTTTTTTTTCCGCTGCTATAATAAAGATCTCCTTTTTTAACACGAGAGCCCGCAACAGATACCGGCTCTATGTCACTCTGGATTGTGGAAAAGCAGCAGAACAAATGCAATTTGCGGACACACGAATGAAAATCGAAAACACATTCATGGGATGAAAAAAAAATTTATTTGAAAAATGAAAAATGGGCGCGAATGAGAGAAAGAAAAAAACGAATTTTCATCATAAATTGCAATGCTTAACGTTGAAAGAGAGAAAATGACGAAGGAAGAGCGAAAATGAAGGAAAAAGAGAGAGAAAAATGGCAAGCTCCAAGTGAATCATGCATTATTTCATAACCATGCCATGCTGAATTTGGATACTTTTTACCATTTCATTTTGCTCTCTCTCTCTCTCTCTCTCTTAACATTTTTTCTGCCTTACATCGTTTGATATTATTGGGTTGGGAACACGTCCGCGACTGGCTCCTGAACTCTCAGTGTGAGAATAAAGTACGAATTCCCAAATGGAATGCAACAAGATTTGGAAACGACGGTGGCCGGCGTCGGCAGCATTCGAATGTGTGAATGGTCAGCATTTAAGCGATAGCAATCGTGGTTGTAAGCTGCGAATCACGATTAAGTTGTTAATAGATTTTGGTTCGTATTTTTCTGCACCCATTGCGAACATTTCCTAATTTTATGAAATTGATATTTGCCATTTCGATTCGATAGCGATCACTTTTGTTTTAACGTACAGCGACATGCAAGCGAACATATGTTTCAATTATTTGTTTTTCGTTTTCAATTTCAATTTGCGACAGAGATAAAAGCGAGCAATCTGAACAAAAATAGAGATATAAACAAACAGACACACACAACTAGACATACGAAGTACACATTTTGCAATGTTTTTCTGTCTCGTTTCCTCTTCGGTTGAACGGCATGCGGCCGTTCTCATCGTGTGTGTCATAGTTTCTCATTAAAAAGTGAAATCATGCGAAAAACTACAATGACAATTCATGCAGCAAAGTACAATATCGCGTGCAAATAAATGCCATCATAGTTTTTTATTCACTCCCCTCCCCCCACCATTCCCTCTTCCCGGTTCCAAACACAGCTGTGATTTATGAAAAAAGAACCGAACGGCAAGTAGCCAACAAACAATTATCAAATCGGATATGAATGAGAAATCGCTCAATTGGAAATAGCCGTCCATCAAGAGGAACGATGACATTTTTTCCCGCATATCGGGCGTTTCTTTTTGCTTTACATTGATAATTCATCCGTTCACATTGACTTCCTCGAGATTGATTTCATATGGCATATTTTCTAATGAACTTGTTTAAATCTCAGCGGCTTTGTTATGACTTCGGCATTTGCTAAACTCATGGCTAAACCGCAACGAAATTGAAGATAAAGCGAATAAAAAAGCTGACTGTTAATGGAAATCTGTTAGCATTGCATGGTTATTTTGACACGTACTTGACAACCTGAACTAAGCCGTGGAGCCAACATAATATCTTAATAACACGATGATAGAGTAAGAAAACAGAATTATGACATTCAGAAAAATTACGATTGTTTTTTCGTTTGTTTGTTGTGCTGCTGAACAGAAGAAGAAGAAGAAGAAGAAAAATAGTGTAATTGCGGCTTCAGTTGATTAAAGTCTTGTTGTTTTTCTTCTTGTCATAGTGCTTCAATGTCATGTTTAACATTTGCCTTTTGGAATCTCGTGTTAAATTGTATCGACGATAAATAATCTCGAAAAAATTGTCTATGATATTGACGCCGATCGAGTGACGTGTACGGCGGCAGCATGACACACCTAAATCTCTTTTTAGAGAGACTGAGAGAGCGAGAGACAGATTGATCAAATGAGTGTGGTGTGGTAGCTTAAAAATGTCAACACAATTACGAAACCGACGCCAAACGAGATGTCGGAAATGGAATTGAAATCTAATGCTGACCGATGCCAAACATGGAATTTTCGAATCAATCGAATAGTTTAGCCACATTCTATTGTGTATTCACAATATATACTCGAGCACTAAAACGGGAAATAATCGATAATACCCGAACAATAACATCAAATCGATGCTTTTTCGTCAAAGATCCAAGTTATTTTTATGACTTTCATGGAATCACTTGAACTCTTGGAATTAAATTGTTTGGAGTTTATTGTTATTTTCGTTCATAGAAAATCCGAATGCACCACACTTCGATTCAATTACAGACCACACATTGAATACCGCACAAAGACATTTGAACCGATCGAAAATCATCGATTCAATCTCCAAAGAAATGGCTTCGGTTTATGTCTTTTAAGTGGTCGAATCGTTTTGGAATTCGGAATTGAATTGAAGCAAAAGGAGAAAAAAAAATCATTACCAAATAACGTTTACACGACAGCCACAAAGAATGTCGAACCCAATTCGATTGGAGTTCGATTCAAAGGC